CTGAAAATAAATTGGAAGAATCGTTTAGCATGGTGCTTTTCAGAAAACAATACTTTCTGTCGTTGAGGCGCATGCCACTGTGCTTCCCCAGATACTCTGGTTTTAATTTTTATTTATAAAAGGAAGCGGAAGCAGATTTTCGAAAAATGCTCGGCCATGTTGATCTCTTTTAGGCTGATATCGAGGAAGTGCAGGAAAAAGACATCCAGATTGCTGATCTTCAGAAGACGGTGGAGATGCAAAAAGCAGAAATCACGCGTCTCTTCGAAGAGAAAAGCCGTATAGAAAGCGATTTTAAGAGGTAAGCTGGATGCGTTACCAGTTTACGCATCTTTAGATCTCTCCATTATGGCAGCAGTGAGGGAAATCTTGCTCATTCTGCTAATAAAACAGTGAACATCGTTGAAACCAATGTAGCTGAGTTTATTTATTATCACTTGTGCTTATAGTATTCAGGCACCTGATCAGTTGAGGACTCTTTTCTGTCTTTGCAATGATTTCTGAGCTGCAAAGCTTAATTTTTTTTTTACGTTTTGGAATAATTCTTGTTTACCGTTTTCACTGTTTGAAAAAAAAAAACACTGGAACAATAAAAACGTTAAACAAAAAATGTTCCTCAGCATAACAAAAATTAAGCATTTTTCATTTGTCACTTTCCGTTTGCGGAATTTTTGAGATTATCCTTTTTATTTATTTTTTGTTCATTTTATTAGTTTTGGACGTTTGTAGGCTGGAAGCCGAAAGGGATGAAATGTACAAAACACTAGTGATTGATCACGAGCTGGCCATGGAACGTGCTGCATCATTTCATAGCGAAGAAATAAAGGTTTCTTTTTTCAGATTTTTCAAAACTTTTTCATCCATGCAATTGAGTTTCAGTTAGTTTTGCACACGAAAAAAAAGTCTGTTATGCTGTCATTGTGGGTTCGTTACAGAGAAAGGACAATGAAATCGAATCGTTGAAAGCGACCATACAGAAAATGCGTGAAAGCGAAGCGCACCGCGGACTTGAAAATATCGAACTTGGCACTTCGACTGAAGAAATTAGAGCTGGATACGAGAAGGAATATAAGGTTAGATTATCGGCTCGTCATATCCACAGGGCTTTTCGGTCACACTTGTTATGTTATTTTGCAGAACAAAATGCAGCTATTGTTGGCTGGGATGAAGGAGAAGAAGGATGAAGAGATTGCAAGGGTAAAGAAAGAAGCGGAGTTCGATATTCGATTACAGATGCAGAAATACGTGGGT